GGAGAGGGTGAAGGGAGGGCAGGGATAAGGGGAAAAAATGAGAACCAAGACCTGTCATGTAGAGGTACAAGATCCCAACAATGAAAGTAACTGTACTGTATCCCTAAAATGTACCAATAAACTCAATTAAAGCTGAAAAAAAAAGAATTATAAAACTATAGCTATTAAATCAATGGAAAACGGTTTACAGGGAGAACTATCAGATGTTTACATTGCATCACTGCGGTTTTTTTTTTAAAGGCCCTAATACTTTGGGATTACTGTGTTAGTAGTTATGCATTCCTTATCTGTAGCTCTGCTAGCTTTAATTTACTAAGCAGTCTGTCAGATGTGCACATCTGCTGTGCCTGCCTGAAGTATAGTGGAACCTATCAGCAGGGATATGAAGCAGTTATGACTTGCTGACATTTGTTATAAACTTTAACTCTGAATTGTTTATGATAACATTGTGTACTTACGTTGCATTAGGCTGAAAATTGACAGGATTTTAGCCACCATGTGTGAATTCTGATTTAGATTTTTAATTTATACCAGGATCTTGTTTTCAAAATAAGAACACAGAGAACATTTCATGTAATATGCTCTTTAACAAAGAATAGCTTTTTTAAAGTTTTGGGCAGTTAATAGTGTGAGCCATTTTTGTATTGAAGAAAAAAAAAAGCTTCCGGAAACTTAAAAATTTTAAAGTAATGGTAGTGCTTAGCTTAGTATTACTTTTAGTTTGAATCATTTAAATTTAATAGGAATATTGAGAAATTTTCTGTTTTACACCCTGTAAAGACAAAAATAATTTATAAATTGAAATGTAGCCAACATGCAAAATTTATTTTTTATTTTTATTATATAAGTAACTGGAATGCTAGTCTCAAGTGGTTATTTAATAAATCACCAGACAGGTGGTATATTTCAACAAATATAATATTTTCTGAAAAGGTAAGGATTTATAGCTATTAAACAAAAATGAATGAAATGTGACTCAGGAATTACAAGTATGGTTTCATAAAATCCTTATTTGTTTTCATTTTTACACTTGAAGTTTTAACTCATGAAAGTGATGATTCAAAAATAAATTTTAGAAAATTTGGGATAGAATTGGTTCTGTTCCTATAACAAAATCTCAGTGAAAAAATTTTTTTTGCAAAGCTAACAGAGATTTAATTAGATTTTACTGTTTCTTAATTTACAAATTTTATCAGATGCCATTTAAATGATGGTACAAGAATTCACTCTTCAGTAGCATCTCTCTTTGTTCAGATACCTGAGTGATTATAAATACAATTTAGCAATATTTAAGTAGCCACCTTCCTTGACATTTAAAAAAATCTTGGCCTTTGACTATTTTGACTTTTCAAATATATGGCAACCTTACCAATTAAATTGAAAAGTCTTATTGGCAGAACAAATTAGAAGACAGTGAGAACTTGTGATAAGCATTTAACTAATAATAAGCATGACAATCTATATGACCATCAACACCCACCAGTGGTGTGAGACGGTGCAGCTAATAATCATCGATGCACTCAGAGATGAGGCGATGTGCCTTTGCCCTGGTCTCTCAAGCATACACCTTTATCATTGCAGTTGACTTTGAGGCCTTTGTTGGACTTCCTGTAGAAGAGGCTGTGAAAAGTATCTTAGAACAAGCACGGCAAGTGGACTCCACCACTAGAACAGTTCTACCACTAAAGCCAGTTAAGGGGCCCTGGACATTTCCTTTAACAAAATTATTCCCTTATCAGAGCCCACCCCAGTTCCACTGACCCCCTATGAGCAGCAGTTAGCCAGGCTGACTGATTAGGTGGCTTTCCTTGAGAACTGACTTATACTTGAGGTCAAGATCCACTTTCAGAATGCTGTACATTGACAAATAGAGAAATGTAAAATTTTTATTTTCAATTTACTGGATTAAGCACCTCAGCATTCCTTACTGAATATGTGATGAAATGCATATATAATATATTATAATATTATATATATATATATATATATATATATATGTCCTTAAGCATTATGCTGAATAGTTGAGGCAGTTCTCATTTTGTAATATGTAACAATTTGTCTGGCGCTGTCAGTATTACTCAGTTAATTTATATCCCCCAGTTAATTAGCAGTAAGTCTCCTGTCCCAGTCCATGCCACCCAAGTGGATAGCAGTAGTGCTGCTTCTAGGGCTGGAGGAGGACTGTCCCCAGGGCAGTACCCGAATTGCTGGGAATGTGATCTACCCTTGGGAGAATAGGCTCTTATCCCCATCTCCTGAGAAGTGCTAAGGTGGAATACTGAAATGTAGCTGAGGAACAAATAAACAGTCCCTGAGTATACTAGTTTGTTACCATTACAGTTTTTCCAATAGTATGTGTATATCCATTGCTACAGTGGAGGGCTTGCCATGAAAGTGCTGCTTAGGGTATTGATGACAGGTGTTAAATTCTAATATCCCCTCTCAGAGAAAGGGACAAGTTAAGTATGGAATGCATTATGTGGGGAAAGAAGCTATTGAGAAAAGTGATACAATCTGTACAGCTCTCCTGCCACCTGTTGGTTGCCTCTATTTTCCTGTTTCAGCTCTACCCTTTGAAGAAGAGCTGAACAAGTCTTCATTCTTTATGTGACAGCCCTCTGAATGATTGAAGTTACTGTATTTTCAAATTAAAATACCCCTTAGATCATTTATTCTACATTTGTCCAGTAAGTGCTTAAATGAATTTAAAAAATAAATTAAATTTCAATGTGCATTAGAACAACCTGGAGGGCTTGTTAAGGCACAGAATATACTCTAGAATTTCTGACCCAGTAGGTCTAAGGTCAGTCAGGCCCAAGAATTTTCACTCACAATCCATTCCCAAGTAATGCCAAAGTCACTGGCCCAGGGACCATAGCTGAGGACCACTGCTCAATCTATTTTCTAGGATTAGGCACTTGAGGGGCAGATACAGCAAGATGGGAGAACCTGCACCTGGAAGTGGTCTCCTCTGCTGAAGACCAGGGTGACTCTCAATTCCAGCTGGCTACAAGCCAAAAGATGGGTTTCCTTTGCCTTTTCCTCCTCTCTCCAGTCCTTTACTCAGCCCCAGAAATGCCAGGCATGGCTCCTGCCCAGTGCTGAACTTCACAGATGAGCAGCCTGCATGTGCAGGAGCAGTGGGGTGGTGTCAGGAGGGCTCAGGGTTTCCAGTCCCTCCACCTCCTTTCAAGCTCACATGCAGTCACCTGTAGGGCTGTGTGGCTGTGTGCAAACCACGCAGACCCTGAGCCTCACTCTCCCCATCTATGTGACATGGGACAATAGCGCCTACACCGCAGGGTTGCTGAGGCGAGTAAATGGGTGTAGTGCAAACAGGAGTCCTTTGTGAACTGTATAGTACCCTATGGATATAGTACCCTACAGATACAGCTTTAGGACAGATTTGCATGTCAACAATGAACTGTGGATATTTCTTTTTTGTTTTTCAGGCTCTTCTCATCCTCTTCCCTAAAACAGACCTCTCTATCTTTGAGCCTCAGTGTTACTGATTCTCTTTCACCTATGTTAAAAAAAATTCTTCAATGACAACTGCAAAGTAATGCAGAATTATTCAGAACCATCAGAATAGGTACAGTAATCACATGGTAATGAATTTTGCTTTGGAAAAGAAAGATTGGGCTTAACTCTGAATACAGTGTGGACAAGTGGGACTATATTGGCGGGGCAGGGGGCTGTTTAACAATTTAGCAGTTGTTAGTAATTTAGTCTTTAGTAATTCCCTAAAAGACAGTGTCCATAGTGTCAAGAGTAAGGGGGATTCTGGCTGAACCAACCGAACAATTCTTGCTGAAGACATGGCAGATTTATCACTCATCACCTGATATGGTGAGGATAAGGAACACTACCACATATCAAGGTAAAGGGGGCTAACTCTATTTTACAAGGAAATCTACAGATAAGCTTAGGAGAAGGTTCGGTAGCTTGGCTAAGGTTTTGTCATCTTCCATGAGAGCGTATTTACATATCTAGAGCCAAGCTGCTTATTAGGCTCTAAAAAGAAAAAAATAAAAACAATCAAGGTACATGACATTAAACTTGCACCTTACTCAATCTTAAGTCATTTTTCTGTTTCCATAGTCAAGAACAAAATAAGCAGAAGCACTAAGCAGTTTATCATTGGTTTTCAGTTGGCTAAACTTCCGCAGACCTATCAGTTTCCCTTGCCATTTGAACATTAGACTCGTCCCAGAATTTCCCTATGTGCAGATAAATCCAAGAAAATGGAAACGCTTATTGAAGGAGAGGAGAGCAGAGACCACTGCGGATCTTGATAAAGATCCCTTTGTTAGCTGCATCATTCAAGCTATTTCATTGACTTTCTTTCCTTCAGACCTTTTGCCTGTGGTGTCCGGAGATTATATTCCTGTTATATTGGAAGGAAAACAACCCAGTATGTGGTCAGACCTTTGATGCAATCTTAATTCTACCATTTACTGTGTGGCCTTGAACATTTCACTTACCTTCTCTTAATCTCAGTTTTTACTTCTCTAACGTGGAGACCACTATTTGGTTCATTGAGTTGTTCTGGATGATAACAAAAGGTTTCTGGAGCTTTGAATGACATTCTTCAGGAGGAAATGATTGCCTGATAAGTCCTTTCGGTCCCTGCCTTTATTCTTGTACGCGTAGGGGCCCCACTAAAAGAACACTGCTAGCTTACTGCCCCTCTTCCTAAATCTCCCAGACCAAGCCCAAGGTCCCAGCCCGGAAGATCCCTCAGCCTACGGACCACCCACATTACTCGGACACTCCCGCCCTAGCCGCTGCCGCTCCTGACGTCACTTCCGCCGGAAAATAATGCGTCAGTGCGGTTGGCGCGAAAGTCAGTTCTTGTCCTCTATAATATCCGGGTTTTCTGGAGTTTGCTCAGGGCTGGGGGCGCCGCCGGGGTGGGGGGCTGTGCGCCGGCCTGG